GAGGCCAAAAATACAGAGCAACCTGCTGAAAATATACCATCTTCATCATAAATTTCTATTTTCTGTATATTATTTACAGATTTATTTGTTGCCTACTCTGATAGACTATTTGTTGGAGTAACTACCACCACTGATGAAATTATTCAGTAGTTGGTCATAAAAGAGTTGTATTCCAGTGAAAAGTGTGAATTTTTCAAAATTTTACAAATTTGAAAAAATGCCAATATTTGGCATTTTCCAAGCATAGTAGCAAGAAAACGCGGGCAATCCATAGCAAACAACTACCATCACTGGAAAGGTCATTCCTAACTCAACAAAATATAAAATTTCTAGAGAAGTATTATTTCTTAAAATAAAATAAAACGAAAATGAAAATGGTTGCTATGGAGATTTTGGATTATTTTGTAGATTCAACATTTGGCTGCTTTTTGTACACCATAACTTTAAAACGGTCAAAAGTAAAGCAAATCACACTACTTAACATCATAATTTTAAAATATTATGATAAATGTGTAAGTTCAAGAATTAAACAAATATAAGTTGTTACTATAGCAACCAAAAAAGTCAGGAAAAATCATATAGCTAATGACGTTATCATTATGCAGAATCTGTATTCTTGGTGGATGATTTAATTTCTTCAATTTTAAATAGAAAACACTTATTATATTTGTTATTTCACTTATGTACATTTTAAAAATAAATAAATAAAAATTCAAGCGTCTAAAATCATGTTGCTATGGTAACCAAATACTTTTTGAACACTTCCTTATATTGGTTGCTATCACAAATTTTGTTATACAGACAATTATAATCATTCATTATTTTTTTCCTCTTTTTCAGTAAAATGAATTGAATTTAATTGTATTTCATTAAATATCAAAATAGTAATTTCTTAACTTATTTTTTAAAATGGTTGCTATGGCAGCCAATAGTTCAGGAAATCCTTTTCATTGATATGTTTTATCAAAAATTTATATACAAAATCCACTGCTTTACTGCACGATTATATGCCTTCTTCAATAAAATAAATTCCATAAACCTTGTCATTTTACTAACATGAAAAAGACTATAAATTCATAATTTAATAAAAAACAGTTGCTTTGGTAACCAAATAATTCAGGAATGATCCAAATAAGTATTGATGTACCAGTATACAAAACTCATAGCACTGCCACCAATGTTTGTTTATACTTCTAATTAATTTATTTGCCTGGACAAAAACACATGAACTCAAACTTAGACTGACATAATATCTGAATTACTGCAGCAGAATTTGTTTCCATGGAACAATAAATACCGACCTAAACATGATAAAATCATGACCGATCTTTTGGAACTTGTTTTATTAATTGAAACACATATAACATGTTTTAACGTGTACATGCACTTCTTAGTTTAAGTAGGACGACCACATAGCCAAGATCCCCCCCCTTCAATTCAACTTGTTTTTGCTGTTATTGAAATGATCACTGTTCCTTACGTTATGAATTATTTTACCACCGCTAAGAAGAAGAGGAGGGCATACTGATTTACCTTTGTGTGTCAGTCCGTTCGTCTGTCTGTCTGGCTGCTTGTATGTGACAGTATGTCTAAACATAGCAAATGTTTGGTTGCAGTTTTCTTAATTAAAGCAATTACACATGTATGAGGGCACTATTCATTGAAAATGCTTGAAATTTTGGCACAGTATTTCCTAAGGCATGCATTGTGGCATAGGTGGGTAACATTCGAGTTTCCTAAACCTGATGTCAATTTCCTGTTAATCCGTGTGTCTGTCCGTACCATACATAATTTTTTTTTGGTTGAAGTTTTCCAAGCCGAGATAAGCGTGATTCATACACATTAAGAATGACAATCAAAATTCAGTATGTAATTTAAAGATTTTGTTCTTCCTCATTAAGGCACAGAGGGTAGAATTAGTCGTAGGGAAAGTGCAATTAGATTAAAAGTATATAATTATACAAACCACCGCCACTCTGATTAGTTCCAAAACACTATATCCGTAGGGTCTATGCCCCTGGGAGTGAACTCCCTATAAGCTTTTGAAATCCAATCTACAGAGAACCTCATCGATATATGGCAGGAACAATATAATGATCTGAAGTAGTTTTATTGGGGGTTAAAGTGAAGGGGAATATAAAATGTTACCACCGCCCCCTCCAATATGTTACAAAGGGGGGGGGGGTAATTTATTTGTCTTAGTATTTTTTTTTCAATTTAAATTACTTATTTTTATCTAAAACTATTTGGAAAGCTTCTTAGAAATATTTTCCAGAACATAAAGTCTGTGATAAAATATGACAAAATCAAATACAATATAATTTTTTTTTCTCTGCTATAATTTGGGCAAATAAATCCATTATTTCAACAACGACCATTTTACATATCCCCAATTTCTGCATGCATGTAAATGAACTTCTTTTCACTGAAAATTGTCGTATTTCCCTATAAACTTTCATGTATTCTCTCATTATATACCGGTATTGTTTCAGTAAAGTGTAAACATTGTATTATAAATTTGGCTTAAATTCTCCTGTAGTGGTGTTTGCTATGGCAAAATAATCTGAATATAAAATAATTTTTTTTTCTTTGTTGCATAAATTAATCTGATGCTAAAGAAATAAAAAAATAAAATTCTTTCACTGCAATTACTTTAAGTTACTATGAAAGGACACATTCACCCACGATCATGAAAAGGAATCTAAACTTAACAATACTGTATATATACATACATGTATTTCAAAAGGGAAAAATTGATCATTTTCTTCTAAAAAAAAAAACCCTTTCAACACAAAAAATAGTTCCTGGCTTAATCCTATTTGAATAATTTGCATCATAGAATCCAGAATTTATTTGAGGCCTTAAAAATGATGCAGAATTTTAGAAATAAAGTTCCAGACCAGACCTGCTCAAAAGCTCAGGATGTTGATACCTTAATTTGATACATTCAATTATGGTTTATAATCTTATACATGTTATACCGTGGCCTTTTTTGAGTAACTTCTTATTTTTGAAATTATTGCTAATATGTACCAGCGTAGGAATGATGATCTTATTAATTAATTTTAAACTTGTGGGCTGCTAGAGCAAGTCTAGGCATCATAAAACTTTGTACAATACAAAAAAATAATTAATTGGTATTTAAAAATGATGTTTTTTAATAAATGATGTGTGTTTTTTGAAATTATGATCCCTTGAAGTTTTATTGGTTTCTTCCTTAAACTAATGACAACCAAATCATGAACTAAATCTAATAATATTGCATGCTTTAACATCTGCTTTTTTTTTTCAGGAGCAGCACTACACTAGTTATATTTAGTGGAAACTTTGATGCTTATCTATGTCAGTTGATGACAAAAATTACAAGTTATTCCTATTCTTAAGATCTTTTCACACAATTGTATAACACGAGCTGTTATGAATACACTGGCTCTGAATACTAGTATACGCTGTCATGTGAAAAAAAACCAAAGGACAAGATAGGGTAACGGCAGAATCTGGCCCCCTATATTTGATGTAAAAATTAGAACACTGGTAAAATTGTGTTAGTTTGTAGTTAAGAAGTTAAAATGTGCTTAACACATTGATTTTTACATAGAGAGGGCGCAGCATTTATGTAAATTTTCATCAACATCTGTTATTTTCTCTTAAAACATAGGTCAAGCTTGATTTTAATTTTACCCATAAACTGCATCTGATACTAGTGTATAAAATATATAAATTTAGTAGATAAAGCTTGTGTTCTGTTATATAGTTAGAATCATAAAATGAAAATAAAAAAAATAACCTCTTTCCTGACCTCTCTGTGACCTCTGTATATTGTAAATCTTAGAATCAATACTCATATTGTGGCAGGGGTGACAACAGGTTTTTATGGATAAACTGTTGGAACATTCTGAAAGACACCCAAAATCGGGGGCCAGATATCTTGCCCTACTAGTTTCTTGTCCTTTGGTACGGGCGAGGTTTTGCATAAACAGGAGAATTCATACAAAAAAAAAATTAATCCCACCATATGACAATTGCCTGAACAAGGAGTGTGTAGAATTTTAATTATCTGTCTCGAGTCTTCTTATTGCCATGTACATATTTCTTCATCACAACCTTATTATCCCATCCTCAGCTCTAAAGTCTATTTAACTGAGTTACTTTGTTTTAAACACTTTTTTTTTCAATTGATGCAGAACTTGTTGTCATAGAGGCAGGAATTTCATAGGAATTTTTATATTTATCACATCTAACGTTATACACAAACATTTATATAAATCTCATTATAGTAAGGCCCAAACAATTATTCAGTGTGTAAAATTTTAAGCATCTGCCTCGTGAAGTTGCTAGGAAAACTACGACTGAAATTTGGTAAGCAGACAGTTTTTACAAAAAGTTGATATTTCTGTCATGTGTACTTTCAATTTTGAATTTCATTTATTTAAGCAAAAGATTTACAACATGGGAAATAACTCTTGTGTTTAATGTGGTAAATTCAAAATTTATATCATTTACATCGAAATTATTTTCTTAAATAAATAATACCTCTCCAGTTTTTTCATATGTTCTTCATAAATGTATTAATCAGTGAAATTCAGAGCATCAAAATATTCCAACAGTGCCTGTTCCATTTTTGCATGCAATGACTATACATCTCTAACCCCCCTATTTTAAAGCAATTTTTTATGTTATTTATATAACAGTAAATTCAAAATTTTTTTTCAATTTTTTTTTTAGTACGGAAATACAAATAACAGCTATTGCAAAAAAAAGAAGAAGAAATACATCACCTTTATTTAATTAAATGTACATGAATGGGAAGAAATATCAATTTAGGTATTTACCACTATGTGAAAAAACATCCCACCATGTTGACATGGAAACAAGGCAATTGCAAAATATCAAGCATCTGCAATGAGTAATTGTTGAGAAAACTTAAATTTGTTAGCTAGACAGATACACAGCTAGACTCACAAGGGTAAAACAACACACCCTCTCCTAATAATATTTATAATAAATGAAGATTCTTTTTTGAAATAGTTATTCGTTTTACTGGAATGTTGATTTTGTGTTTAATATTCCCAGAGTACCAAGGCAATGCAAACAATGAAAGACTTAACGTTTACCCCACCGGATCGTCTGTGACATTAGCTCAAGCTTGTAATAAAACAACCTCAATTCCAGCAGAAGAATTTCACGTTCTCGTAAAGTCAAGTATGTATTGATCGAGTATGATATTATTTTGAGAGGTACATGTACTCTGTGTTTAATGTGTTATAAATTAATTTTCTTTACTTATAACTTCTAAGTAATCCAATGTCTGTATCTTAGAGAAAAAAAAATGTTAATTTGGAAAAGAAACAAACATTTTACTCTTTGCCATCCTTGATTTCTTTTACAATTTGACGACTGTTAGTCTTATTCATAATGCATTGATGAAAAACTAATGACAAGCATTTTCTTTTAATTAATTTTACAATTTGGACCTTAATCTTTGGACCTTATTTTCTCTCAATGAATAAAATTATTAGAATTACGACGATATGAATTCGAGTAACATTGAAATCCAAAAATATCTCAGGAACTTTGTACTCATCTGCTTCCATGGTATTTGACTATTGTACTTTTTCATTTATTCATTTATTTCTTGCAGCAAATATGGCAGACGTCAAACAATGGCTGCCAACACCGTTGCTAGGCACATTTGAGTACACAAAAGTAACGTCTGCTGGTGTTTCTTCCTGTGGTACAGGATCTGTCTGGGACGTCTGCAATAACCGAACGACTATGACGTTCAACATGACACAGTGCAATTCAGTGGTCGCTTATTCTCGTGAGTATGATGTATGATGTTCATAAAATCAAAGTTGGACTCGTATTTCATGCACTCAAAATTCTCAGAATTAGAACTTACTGTTAATGTTGGTATCCAAATGCTTAAGATGAGGTTAAAAAGTAATGATTCTCAATTTCCTTTCTCAACTTTTGACCCCAAAGGTGATGTAAACAGTTTCCAAAGTTCTAATTCATTTACATTAGTATGATTATTTTCACAGAGGGAGAAGTTTACGGCGTGACCTCTGTGACAAAGGGGTCAACTTACTACGCTTTGGTATTGAATCCAGGTACCGCTGATGATTCTACGTATTTTCGATTTACTTGTATGGTAAGTATCTGTTTTCCCAAGTGAATTCAAGTACATAAAATAATTAGAATAGTTCAAAAAGAATGCAAAGATCTAAGAAATGATTCAAAATGGGAGATAATAGAACATAGAAGAGATATTTATTTTTTAAAAGAGTGAAGTTCTTTAAGGATTTAAACAATGGAATGGTCATGGAGATGTGTAACTTGATATCTTTTAAGGCTGTAACACAATCAGGGAGCACTGTAACAGTGGTAGAGAAGAGCGGTAGTTGTGGACCTGGACAGAACACCACAATGGCTGGATCTGGAGGTTCCAAGTATACCATGACACCATATGGTACGATTGTCGATTTTTTGGGCCAACGATTAATAAAAGCTTAACAAATAAATAAATGTTCATACATTCATTTGTATTAGACAAATGAGAAAAAATATATACAGTGGCTGCTACGTTATTGTTGACAACCAATCGTGCAGAATCGTTCGTGTGTCGTGCGTGATCGTTCGTGTAACGTGCGAGATCATGCGTGTATCAGACTGAATCGTTTGCGGTTTTAATCGTGCGTGATCGTGTGTTTAGAAACGTGTAAATTTCGTTTTGTAAGTTTCTATCGGAATGTTATGTGTTAATCAAGTTTTTCCTTAGTCTTTATTTTTATTTAAATCCAAATAAAATGAATGAAGCGTAATTTACATAATTGAATGCAGAACGAATTAATTATCGCTTGTAAACAAGCAATATAGTAAGTCGTACAATATTAAGTCCCCGTCAAATAGCGCGATCAATATTGTGATAAACCGTACTTAGATCTTTAACGCCTTTTTGAAAAATCTGATTTTAATTATTATTTACTTCTTATTGTGGTCAAGGTAATCTTGAAATCAATTCATTGAAAATAAATATATTTTATTTACAAACAAATATGCATTTCTCAATGCTTACATAACTAGTTAGTCGACAAATATACATGGACACGGCATGAATTTCGGGAGTTTTGGTTATCTGCGTTTATCTCTTGAGACTATTTGTAATTAATTAATTTTAAATTTCAGCAAATAAAAAAGTTGAATAATTGGCAAGTTTATCATACATTGAATCATTGGAAACATAAGGATAAAATCTGTAACTATAATTTAAGTAATTCCATGCTGCCATTTTTGTTCAATCGTATCCCCCTTTCTGCATGTCATGATATTCAATTCAATCAAATTATACGACCCGCATACATGCAAATCGTCTAATAGAACGAACAAAATCCGTTTTTTTTTTATCGGAGAATTACCTTAGAAATAATTATTTTAAATCTAAAATATTAAGTCTTGCATATATTTAGTTACAGAAATTGTATTTTCCGTTTTTTTCTTCAAAGTCTATGAAATAATATTGATAATTCTTTGAAATCTTAAATAAGTATTAAGCCGTATTTCGTTTTGAAAATATTGATTCCTAAATATTTTGAACTATTTTGAGTGAAGAATCGTGCGTTTGCGTTAACAATCGTGTAAGATCGTGTAACGTGTAGAATCGTGAACGTGAAAGATCGTTCGTGTAACGGTTATAGTGGGTTAATTGGGGGTTCGGA